CTTGCACTACAATTTGTTACGATGATCAAGAACTTATAAAGTTACTTAACAAACTTGAAAAAAACTTTTTTAATTTAAAGCAAGCAAAAAGCTCGCCTGAATTCAATAATATTTACATTATAGATGTTAGAAATATTTCAGATAATGATATCAATCTTTTAAAAAAGTTTAGAGTGTCTTACAATAGTAAATTTTATGATAGGAAAAAAAAAATTATAAATAGTATTACAAATATTTGTGAACATCTTAAATATCAACAAATATCAAGACATCGATATATTCTAATAGAAAAAAGTCTTAAGCTTATTTGTCAAGTTTTTGTCTTTATTAATGATTTTAATTTTTATAAAGGAAAAAAGTTCAAAGACTATTTATCTTTTGACAATAGGTTAAAATATCAAAAATATAAATTTACAGTATTATTTTCAAATGAAAATTTTGCAGAAATGATCACTTTAATCAAAAAAGTACTCTATCAAGACAGGCATTTTGATCACTTTAAAGGAGAGACAGTAATAAATTCTCTTGAATGTTTATTCATTGATATTACATTTATTATTGAAAATTTAAAATACTATACTGATTATTTAAATGAGTATGAAAAAATCTATATGAAATATATTTAAAAATAAATTTAGTACGGCTATACGCTTCTTTTTGGAAAATACACGTCAAAACAAATTTTTTTTGTTTTATAGTCTAACAGTTAATATCAGTTTTTTTTCTCTACAAATTATAATAATTGTTATCCAATAAACAAAAGATGTTTTTGTATTTTATAACTCCTTATATACATTTTTTTGTAAATATTAATAAATCTTTGGCTTTACTTTCGGTATTTATAGCTACTTTTTGAACAAATACCTTTGGCATGAACCTCTGGAATAGTATTTCTTTTCAAATAGGCTAATAAAATACTCTTGATCACGGGATGTGTTTTGGGACTGGGAATGTTTGCAGTGTCTGTTTTATCTGTAAAAATGGGTTATAACAAAACATGTTTATTACATAAAGTTTCTTTATACAGTTTTACCTCCTATTTAACACCAAACCTACCGAAATTTTATGTATACCTAGCCCTACTATGAGCAGTAAAATGACCACCTCAAAAAAAATATATGTATCTTAGTAAAAGTAGATAGTAAAAAAATATTTTTCTGATGATACAATAAAAACCCGTTC